TATTTCAACATAGAAGCTGCATGAAGAAGATGTGAAAACTGAAGCTATAGCTTCAGTTCTAAGTAATAACTAAAGGCCTCCAAGTGCTACAGAGGGCAAAACCACACAAACACCAACCAAATGAAACATCAATGCCTTCAAGTTCAAGTAGTGACAGGATTGCCTGGCCACCATCCCCCTGTTCCAAAGTTGAGGTTTTCCGTGACAGCTTTTGCTTCCTGATCCATGTGAAACAATGTCAAATCCATGCAGAATAGTTTGCAGTTTGTTTTGGTTTTTTCTTATCACACTTAAACCAAACAGCCTTCTTGGTAGTGCACACTGTGCTGCATTTACCTCTACCCCTCCAGATGTTTTCATTTCTTTACAATGAAGAGGAAACGTAGCTTCTTTTCCGCTGAACTTCAGTTGCAGTTAGCAACTCTTATTTCTAAGTGATACTGTGTATTGAAAGTTCAAAAGGTTTGTGTTCTGTATTAATCTGATTTAATTAACTTTTTAACTCCTCTTCCTAGCTGCCTAGAGGCAGTTACCTCTTCACCATAGGTGTCACTTGTTTTCTCTTCATGTTGGAACTGCACCAGTAGAAACAGACTGAAATAGCACCCAGCACAAAAAAACCCACACCATAATTTAACAACCTGCATAACAAGATTTGATAGTATATTTTGAAAAATTACTCAGACATACCATGGAAAAATCACTGGAACTCAAGTCATTTGAAAAATCCCACTCCTAGTTGAAATTTAAGTATCCAAATGAAAGTGCTCAGCTGCTCATAGGATCTCAATATCTCCAACTTCCTAGCTTTGGGTGCATAGCAGGGGCTATTCAGAATTCAGTGTGGAATTCAGAGATCTTTTTTAAACAGCCCTTATTAACATTGCAAAGAAAGAGTATTTTCAAGATGAGCATCGGAATGGCCTGCTGGCCTTTTACAGGGGTGCTGCAACAATAAGTAAAGCATAAATACCTGTTTATTATGGCAGATGTGGAGAGAGCTTTCTATTTCTAAGCCCTGCACATTAGCCACAGAGGCATTCCAGGACAGAGAGAACGAGGCACAGAGTGACACCAAGAGCAAGTCACACGAGTAGTCTGGGACCTGACTGTGAGGAACAGCTAAGCTAGAGGCTGCAATCAGAAGACAAGAAAAAGAAACATCGTGGCTGATCTGAAAGATTACAGGAAGGCCTCAGATGAGGACACCACTGACACAAAAAAATCCAGCTGCACTCCAGGAGCTTAAGCCAAGCGTAATTAAAGATGCCAACAGTTCTCCAAGAGTGCAATGATCCAACTGGCCGCTCACTAGAAAAGTGCCAAGGTACAACAAGAATGCAAGTAGCAGCAACATCTGCAGAAAAGCACTCTTCCTAGTGCGTATACTATCCACTGGGGACAAATGTTCCACAAGTCTGCAACCTGTGACACTGAGCCCTTCAATCAGGTCACAGTAATTTTGAGAACGAGCATGTCCAACACAGCTCCTTACAAATATCTTTACCCCACTGCCCACTTTCCAGATTCAATAGGCTGTTCATATACTACTACAAAGATGCTCAAAATAGGTTTTTGGTTAGGAGTTTTACTGACTACCACATGAGAGGTTTTAATAAAATATTTATAAGCTTATTCATAATGAAGGATATTTTTGGCAGGGAGCTTTACTGACCTGTAGTGCTAACAAAATATTACCCAGTTATAGAAAATAGCACAAAGTTTGATTTCATTTTTAGCATTGTACATTCGGTATAAATTGCGAGCTTATTAAAGTATAATCCTCAAAATGGAACAACTCTAGCTCTTTCTTCAGCCCTAAACATCAGGGACTTGGGAAAAAAACAGACCTATTTCCAAATTACATCTCACTTTGATTTGAGAAAATTTGTACCACTTTTTTTTTAATACCTTTTATCCCAACAGTCTCCCTGGAACACCAAGAACAGACTGAAAGGGCTCTTAACATTCATATCCAGTTTAGATATCTGTCTTGCCACAAAGTAATTATTACATCTGCTTATAGCAGATGTAATAATTACTTTAGGCTGCCCAGGGAGGTGGTTGAGTCCCCATCCCTGGATGTGCTTAAGAATAGGGTGGATGATCTACTTGGGGATATGGTTTAATGGGGATTAGGGATGGTTGGACTCGATGATCTCTAAGGTCTTTTCCAACCTAGAAATCTATGAATCTATGTATCTAAGATTTAATTAACAACACACTTAATTGGAGAGATTCTTTATATAAGCCAAATTCCAACACCTTTACTTCAAACAGCACCTTGCTTTGTGAGTAATCACAGTGATTTCAATGGCACTACTTGCCAAATAGAGTATTATTTAACAGGAGACAAAGTGATCCGATCAGGCACATTTTGTAGTAAACTTGCTCTTCACCTGTGTTTATAAATGGGCTGCACACACATCAGAATCCAGCATATACAAACAAACACTAAAGTTACATAGAGATTCAGACCTCTCGATGATAATGCACTATTTGCATGACACTTAGATTTACTTTAACCACTAGAATATCAAATCATGGTATCTTCATGATTTGTAACGAAACTGCTGTTATGGTTTCTGTTAGCTCTATTTGAGACAGATATTGTAGCCACAAAGTTCAGTTATGAGCTTCTCTGACAATTCTGGTTGGGAATGACAAAAGACCACTGAGATACCTCAGTCCCTTCTTCCTCAAGGACAAGCTACAAATGCTATCTTAAGAGACAGATAAATTTCAGGCAAAGATCACCCTTGCAAGCAGCTATAGCTACTGTAAATACGCTTTATGTGCCTGAAGAATCAATTAATTTGCAATTCTAATAGAAAACAGTAGACAGAAATATATAACACAGCTGCCTGTCTTGCAATGGAACATACCATGGAAAAATCAGTGGAACAAATTTCAAAATTCAAAATCAGTCATTTGAAAAATCCCACTCCTAGCTGAAATTTAAGTATCCAAATGGAAGTGCTCAGCTGCTCATAGGATCTCAATATCTCCAACTTCCTAGCTTTGGGTGCATAGCAGGGGCTGTGGGTGCTTCCCTTGCTTGAAAAGTTACATTAGCGTAGCTGCTATGAAGTCAAGTGTCCAAAACTTACAGCTGCCTTCTTTCACGCCTTCTTCCACTCGTTTTCAGTTCACAAGTCACACAGTTCACCATTAAAAGGGAAACACAAACAGCATAGGTAGATCTCACTAGCAAGAGATCTAAGAGATATGAATTTATTTCCCTCCTTTGCTGTTTTCTTGTGCTACCCAGAGAAGCCACCAGTTTATACATCTCTCAGTTCCTCAGGTTATCATCAACTCCTTTGGTCACACACATGTACGGCTATGACAGAGCTTTTCATGTCATGTAGTAAGGGAAAACAGAGAAAATCTCCTTGTATAAGTACACTTGTCTTTAGCAACCTAAAGCAGCTGTGATGTTTGTAGGCATATTTTGATTTTAACGTATCAGGCATTAAACAAGCAGAAACATGAAAACGATACATTAGTCCCAAATAAAACAACTACATTTTTGAAAGTTTTAAAAACCAGAAACCTTAAAAATGGAATTTGAAACAAAACCAAAACCATTATATTGTGTACGTTACTACTGATATATCATCCAAAACTAAGTCAGATAAACAGGTTACGCTCTGCTTACAAGATGCTAACTCAGCAGAGAAACATTTGAATGAAGAAAAGGTTTGGATAGTGTCTTTAACTTGTGTTTTCTGTCATGGAAATTCTGCATCTGAAGAAAAGTATATTTGGAACAACTTCAAATATTAACTTGTGTGAATGCTTTCCATGGGAACTGGTAAACCCACTCAGTCTGCAACTACAACATAACCAAAAAACATACACACCCTGACCTCGTTGCCTTCATCTTGATATTTCACCTCATGGCTCTGTTCTGGGTTGGGCCGGGAAAGGGTTAATTTTTTTTTTGCAAACTTTGAGACAGCACTTATTTTTTCTTTTTCGCGGGAGGCTGAGGCTCCTGTGTGGTACAGCAGCCTTCGTTGTTTAACAAAAAACTGCAAACTTTGAGACAGCACTTATGCTTGTCTCCAAATTGCACACAATATCACACATACTCAATTAGTCACCTCAAGAAACAAAAACTAAAAGCTAGAAGCATTAGCATAGCAAACAGGTACGAGAACTCTTACACCCTTTTTTTGTTTGCTTGTTTCTGAAAAACAAAGGAACCAATTCTCCTTTTACAGTTTCGCCCTAGGAGAATGCCCCAGACTGCAGTGGACTAACATTTGATTTACACTGGCATGCACAAGCAATAACTATTTGTTCCAGGGCTCTGAAGCCTTGTGTTAGAATATTTATGAATCTTCAACAGAGATTTTTGTCTAGATAGCTTTCCTTTCACATAAACATCATCACAGTATTTTATCATCCAGTTTAGGTAAGATCAGAAAAGTTGCTAGAGGATTTTCAAACTGGTCCACTAAGACTAGCGTTTGACCTCCATAATAAGGTAATGCTTACATGTTTCCAAGGAATTCTTTAGCTTGGAGAAGAGGAGACTGAGGGGGGACCTCATTAATGTTTATAAATATGGAAAGGGTGACTGTCATGAGGATGGAGCCAGGCTCTTCTAAGTGGCATCCAATGATAGGACAAGGGGAAATGGATATAAGTTGGAAAACAGGAGGTTCCACTTAAACATGAGGAAGAACTTCTTCCCAGTAAGGGTAACAGAACACTGGAACAGGCTGCCCAGAGAGGTTGTGGAGTCTCCTTCTCTGGAGATGTTCAAAACCCACTTTGACGCGTTCTTGTGTGATCTGATGTAGGTGGTCCTGCTCCGGCAGGGGGATTGGACTAGATGATCCTTTGAGGTCCCTTCCAATCCCTAACATTCTGTGATTCTGTGTGAATTCATCAGGGAAGTGGCAACCAAGCCACACTGCGACATTTTAATTCACACAGACAGCACATAAACTTCTTAAGCATTCCTTATCAATCAAGCAAGTACTTACAGGGTCAGAAGGACCACAGAAGTCTCTGAACACTTTTGGAGGCTCGGGCTGTATAATCTCCATTGCTATGCAAGGACCTGAACACAACTCTGTAACCATCTCCTGGAAGAGAAAAAAGACAAACAAATCTGAGCTTCTCAGGGCATCAGCAAGGGCTGTATTCCTCCCCAAAACTAGATCCAAACTTGCAGGACGGGAATAATTAAGACATATTGGTGCATTTAGGAAAGCAAAGACATAAACAAAGATGTCATTAGTATTCACAACAGAAATGTTTTACATTTTGGTACTCGGTTTAGAAGGTGGAGATTGAGGTAAATCAGATATTCAGCTTCAACAGGATACTGAATAGCATGCAACAGCATCCACAATACTTTAAACTCTTTTGTGGGTAGATCCTTATTGATCTGGGCCTGGATTTCACAGACGTATCCCATAACTTGTCAAACTAGACTGAATCAATGCAACATACTTTGCTGGGTGTAAGTCTGAAAAATCACACTATGTTCAGCCAGTTCCACAGGCAGCAATGTACAGGGAGTACGAGACGCAGCCTATATTTATTTAAAAATATACACCCGTTTGATGGCTTTAAGTCATTAAAATGTCTCTTGGGCTTTTCATTCTCACTGTCTTTTCCTCATGTATTATTACAGAAGCTGAAACACGCGATCCAACAGGACAGAACTGAAAAGGGCCTGTGGCACCACCTGTTAGGGAAACTGTCCTTGATCTGGCAACAGTCTTGTGGTGTACTGTTAACCAGAATCTCAGTTACACCAAAATCATCTTTTTCGCTGGAGCTTCCTGGAGGGTAAAGAGACACTGCGAGTTCTGAGCGGTTGATGAACATGGGTCTTAGTGTTCATAAGCTTAAGTAACTCCGGGCACTAGTGCCAATTTGGAGTTTGTTAATTAGAGGCATAGGTTTCACAAGCAGAAAGAACCTATTTTGATGTTCTAGTCTGACTTTCTTTTTCAAAACATGCCCTTATAATTGCATAGTTGTCTAGAAATTTGGGCAGACAAGTTCTAAACAAATCAGGACAATTAAAAGAATCAAAACCAATGAGGAAAGGGGAAAGGAGAAAACATTCACAGGAAATAAGGGACCATAGGGAAGGACAAGCAAGGTACTGCAATCACACCCACCAGCCATGCGCAGGTAAAGGATGAGCCATGGCAAACAGCAAGAGCAGAATGAGAAAAAAGAGCAGCAGGAAAAGAAGAATTAAATCCTTCTCTGCCTTTTATGATTTGTGATGGAAACTAAACACACAAAGACTTCAAGTCAAGCAGCATTGCTCCAAAGAGTATCTTCATAATGGATTCCATGCTGAGAGCACGTGCTTAATCTCCCCACTCTGAAGACAACAGGACAAAATTTTAGCCAAGACCCTCTATCATCAACCTGATCCTAGGAAACGTAGGTAAAACTATTCCTGAGAGGACATGAAAGGAGTGCAGACTAGTTTCGTGCTCTACAACATGAATAAATATTTTAATCCCAAAAACTGTCTTATCACCAATGGATCCTCTGTTAAGAACAAGTCAAAGACCTGTTAAGAAGTAGTAAATTGCCACAAAGTCACTACTCTGTACAATTTCATTGAATTTTGTCATCTAAATAACTGTTAACGGGGAAGTGGAGAAAAAACAGGCTTTTAACTTTAGTTGAATCACCTGAATTCCTTCCTGCAAACTGTGGTTTTTCCTGTTTGTCTCTTTTCTACTGTTTCTGTATCAGCACTGACATCCCACCAGCAACAGCAAACAATGTGAGCAAAGTTACTCCTGACTCCTTAATTACAACACAAAGCCGAGGACTGAAGACCAGCTGCCATCAACTACAGCAGAGACAAGCTTGGTCCACCTTACACAGTCTCATCAAGCCCAGGGTTGAATTTAAACAGCAGACACTGTTTCTCTGGTAAGGCTCCCTGTTACAGCTAAATCAAATTTTCTTTAGCAAATAGTTTATTCATCAAATAACACAGCTTGCTGTCAACCAAAAACATCCCTGGAGCTGGATCAAGCTCAAGCATTTTTGATTAACTAAGTGGATTCTGAGCTAACTCAAAAAAATCTCCCTCCTTTTTTCCCCATTTTCTATTCTGGCTACAGAAGGAAATACAAAGAAAAACAGCTCAGAAACTAATTCATAGTATGCAGAATCCCACGCAGGAGGTACCAACAAAGTTAAAAACTTGGGCAACTCTCTGTGAAAAGAGAAAGCTGAACAAGTGCTTTGTATACAATGTCAAGCCTTTATCTGACTGACAAGGGGTAACCAGGAGAAGCAGGAGTACAGTTTTTGAAAACGATTTCTGAATGCCAAGTGTCTTCTGTGCTGAGTTATTTTGGAATGAGAAATAAAATTCAGATCAAAACAGACGGTTCTGAGTCACAGATACAAGAGGTCATATTCTTTCCTCAATATCCGATTTCACAACATCTTCCTATTTGGCCTGCACTGACAATATTTATTGCTGTTCCCATATGTACCTTCTCTGGAACCCTTTACCATCATAATTAGCTTTTCCATGTTTTCTTGTTTCACAGATATCCTGAGTGCACAAAGATATTAATTTCATTTCATTTCAACTGAATACACCCAGCACATATGGCTTGCAGGACAGAGCTCTAGATTTTCACTTTTCTTTAAATTCCGTCAAAAACAGATCTTCATTGATTTAGCCTGTTTAAATGTCACTTTCCCTTCTGAGTAACTCTCCAATTAAAATGATGTATAACTAAAATTTGCAACTTATTAGAGGGTCAAAGATTGTACAAAAGAGCTGCAGAAGATGGTAGAAAATTTCCAATTTGGCTCAAAGCAGACACTTTTGCAGTACCATGGGATTCTTTGGGCTGTGAAATACCGGTCAGATATTACCATCTTTGAATTCTGCCATGTACCTACAAGTCCAAGTCTGCCTGTCCAATCTTCCTTTGGTCCTCATCAAAAATGGTGTTATCAAAGGAGACTTTAAGAATATTCTCCAATCTGAGAGTGAATTAACGGTATTCCTAATCTATTCAAAGACAAATTCACAAACCCTGTTGAAGTAAATTAGACTAAACAATCATAAAGAGGGGAAAAAACAGAAAATAAAAGTGTCATTATAAGAGTAATATCAATAACTGTGTAGAAAACTTTTAATAATTTAACCGTTTAAAAATTAAGGGTAATTTGCATAGGACATAGCATGGCAGTGAAGCTAAACTCATTACTCTTTGTAAAATGAACTAAAATCTTCTGACAGAACGTGACAGAGAAACGCAAGCTCGTCTTCCTGTATTCCCATTGTTCTATCTGCAGTCAGGAAGTTTTATGCGACGGTACAATAAGGCATAATAATATATAGTCTTAGACATCCACTGGGATTACAGCATATCTTAAACTTCTTAAATTTTCTGAAAACCCACAAAAGCCAGAAAATAGCTCAAAACGTCATTAGGAAAGCATTCAAATACAGCAGTCCTATTGTAAACAAAGTAATAAACATACATTCTGCTCCAAGACATAGCTCTACCGCAATAAAATAACTTATCTAAGGGATTTTTTTTTTCCACTCTGCTGTATTTTACAAATTCCTTGGCTGAACAATTTTCACAAAAGACTCTCCTTTCTCACAGCATAAATAGCATAATTTTCAAGATGAGTTAGTTTATTTGAGAACAAGCTAGAACTGGTCAATATCAGGTTCCTAAAAGAAATCTTACCACAATCAGAATAAAAGGAAAGATGTGACTGTTTCCTCATTTAATCATATTTTATTTTTAAACAGATTCTTCTCAAACTTATGCTTACCATGTATTCAGCAACGACACCTTTGTAAATCTCATAAAATTCTTCCACATGTGTACGCTCCATGTTGAACTAACAAAAAAAAAGTTATGACTTAATCAACAAGAAACAAAAAAAACAGACACCCCTTCTCTAACCAGCAAACATTCAGAATACTCTCTTAAGTTCTACTAGGTAAAAGGAATGGCTTTACAGCTTCAATATGAAGTTTGTCAACACCTCAGCCAATGATGCCATAGGCAACAAAGCGCGCAGTATCTTCTTCCAATTTAAATACAAGTAGACAATGTCGTGTTGGCTGATGTCTCCAAGACATGCAAGAGGATCTGTTTGTCACATAGTAACTTTTGTGGTGGAGATTTGAGTCACAGTGGGATTTCAGATCTCCAGACTTTCACAAAAATCAAAGGGCAGGACTTAGGGGACTACTCTTGGAAACGATCTCTGTGCCAACTTCCTTTAACTGCTGAGGGTGACCAGGGTGTTAAAATCCTCAAAGTATCTTTAAAAACCTTCCCCTAAATTCATACTAAGTATATTTTTTAAAAAATGAGGAAGGATATTAACAATCATTTCTCTAATGTTAGCAAGTACATTTTGTAAAGGTATCTCAAATTGCTCCAGAAGAGACAGATATCATGATCCCCCCTCTAACTTTAGGAAAACTGAGATAAAGAGAGGTAGTGTGTCTTGGCTCAAGCCAAGGTCACCTAGTAAGGAGAAACAGATCAGCTGATCAATCAAGTAATAAAACACAATATCACAAAGACAGTGCTTATCCCAAAACACTGCTATGCAGTCTGCACAAGGGTTTTGTATTGCAGGAAAACATCTGTGCGTTGCTGTGAAGTGCACGCAGCACTTCTCCAACTTCTGTTCATTAGAAAAACATACACAAAAGGAAACCTACCATCTGCAAAGCTGAGATCTGAAATCCTTCATTGATGATGGCTTTTATAACCTTTCCAGCTAGCCCTGAAGAAACACACAAAAGACAGTATTCAATTTTAAAATGCATAATTTACAACTGGAAGGTATTTGTGCCAATTTACCACTTATTTTCAAACCAAAAAAACCCAATGTTCACTTAACGCTGTGAGAGGAAGCAGACAGCAGAGCTGAATTCACATACTCTGTGTTCTATCTAAAGTGATGTGTTGAGATTTCAAACAACTAAATTTCATGCAGCTGTTGAAAAGAATCTCTACTAAAAAAAGGTAATTAGTGAAGCTTTTGCTTTTCTCAGATCAACTGCAAAACATCCAGCTGTTTCAAGATCAAGATTTAAACTTTTAATTAAGTTCCACTGGCAGTGGATCAATTCAGAGCACAGGCTGCCTATTTTGCTGGTTTTATACAATGTTCACCAGAGTGAGGGTCCTACTTTAAGCTAGACACAATGCAGGATAATAATAAATATTCCAAATAAGCTAACACAAAACTTCATGCCCTCCATGAGAAAAACACATTAGTGCAAAATAACCTACGGCTTCTAAGGTTATAACTCACAAATATGTGGTTGCTGATCACACTGCTTGCTGTATTCTCTCCAGAATGCATCTCAAAGACTGAATGACATTGCAATACAAAACGCTAAACTTCAGAGAACAAGAACCACTGATTTTCCACCAAATGTGTATTTTAGATTTGCCTGTGCTTAGAAGATCAGGTCATTCAAAAGATTATGTCAGCCAAGCACAGTATTCTGTGTGAGTGAATTTCATAGAATCCCTGTTTTTATAGAACATAAATGCCTGTCCTTTTTGAGAAAGTACACATTTCTGGACATTTATTCAGAGCAGAATTAATCATGGAAGAATAGGCTGTAATGAATAACATCAGCAGGATTTGACTCTTGATCATTAAACTCTTTTATTAACTAGTCTTTAAATTGTAGGATTTTTTAGCACTGCATAAATTTAATAGATAAGAATAAAACACATCTGATATCTAGGTTCTAGCACGCTCAAGACCTCCATTTTACAGTCTGCTCATACCTGTGGCATAGGATTGGTCAACTTGCTACCACATTAAAAGGTCACTGGAAGCTCTGAGTAAATGACACGGATAGCTGGAGGGCTTTCAAAAATTGTATTTACAAATGAAAATGAAAAAAGCTAAACTGCTCCCGAAGTATCCCCCACTGTGTTTTCACATTAAGGTTTATGTAGAAAAACCTTCCACATATAAACCAATGCATATTTCTTAAAAAAAATCTTCAAATTATTAAAGGGAGAACCTAAGATTTTGCTACATACTCGGTCCATGCAGTTCCTTGAGCTAACAGAACATAGAAATGAGTGGAGGCAGGTACAGTTCCTGCCATTCCACTATACTGTTACACCATTGCTCACTAGCACTGAGAAAAGTTTCATTATAACACTCTTGTGAAACCAGGAACACATATTTTCCCTTTTTTTCAAGGTGAAAAAATTACCAATTGCAGCAGCAAAATGAAGGGACTTGGATTGGTTTGTCCAGGAAATGCAAGACCACATGGGAGACTGAAACCAGACCTCTAGTTTCTTTTTGTCCACGCTGCTGGAAAGGCTGAGCAGCACTTCCACACACAGGTTCCAGTGAGGCAGGCAGTCTACAGTCTTGACTTCAGAGATGAATAGTCAGTTTATAAGAGATTAAGTGTCTGGCTGAGGATCATTCAGGAAATAAATAAATGAATAAACAATCTGTGACAGAGTCTAAACATCTCCTCATTCTCAATTTTCAGAGCCAATACACCAGTCAACAGCCACTGCTTCCCAAGAAACCAAGAAAGAGGGCAGGAAAGCAGTGGCAGACAACTGGCAACGACCACTTGCAGGGACAAGGCTACTTTGGTGTGAGAAAGCTGCTTTGCATGACAGATCTCCATGTCCCACTTTATCAGTCAAGAATGGGCCACTCGCATAGGCCCTCACAGCCAGCAAGAATCTAATTTAGATACTCATAAGTGTCAGCTTCTGGGGTACTATGGAGATCTGCTTTTTACAGAAGTTTTGTCCTTGACAGTTTTACCAGCTGTAAGCAAAATCCATGTTTTAGAGAAACAAAGTGAGATTCAAACATTCAGCTTTCTAGGCTGTTTCTCTACTGAAGCCATGAAGGTTTTTCTTCTCTGTAGGGAAGAAACAGGCTCTTTTAATGATAGAAATCAAAGTAGGAATGCATTTTGCATGAAGATCTTTAATACAATGTTTGTTTAATAATTAACTGTGATAAATCTATCAAGATTTTCCTCTGCATTGTATTCCTCCGTTCACTCTCACTCATCAGAGCAACAGAGCACCTTGTTGTTCCAGAGAGCTTGCCCACACCTGCAACACCAAAAGGCTCAACCAAAGGAATTATTGTCACCAATCTACACAGATAGATGTCTTGCCAAAAAAAAAAAAAAAAAAATCAAAGTGCCTTCAGAAAGAGGCATGAGCTTTCATTTCTGTTTGCAAAGCGGGACGTTAGCTCCACTTCGCAGATGTGGGAATTGAGGCATAGGAGGATAAGTGAGTTGCCAGGAGCAGCGCAAAGCTACAAATCCAGTGACTTGGCCTCCCTTGTCCCAGTTTAGACAATATACATATCCCTTCTCCTATGGACACTTTCCTTCCAAATTGTAACTGAACCAAAATAGAAACAAAAAGCACAGAGGCAATCCCTGAGCAACAGAAGAGTGGAAGCTCAAGGCTCAGCCTGGGATCTATTTCAGGCTTTCAGCCAGTTGCATGACTGAATTGGGACATGCCCTCTCCTTTGTGGGCAGATAAGGCAGAGGAAAAGAAGAACTAATTACACAGAGTGCCATTTCAGCAGCTTTCACCCATTTGTCTTCAACTTTAAAATCCAGATCTGTAGCGAAAAAACTTTTTAAGGACCCTTCAAACTGAGCCAGTGCATGTTTAAAATGTGATTACAGTAAGAACCCAAATCAAAGCTGCAGATTAGGCACCAGTTATGATGAATTTTCAGTCACAAAGCACAAAAGAATCACAAGCATTACAAAATACAACCAAGGGGAATTTAGTACTAATCCTAACAAATATGTGAGTGAGAGAGCATGCACACGCTTCACGTCTCCTAGGCAGCGTTACGTTACTACGCACCTAATACAGGACAGATAATCTTCCAACGTATTTTAATCAGATAAAATGATAAAGCATCAAGACCTCATCAGTTACATTGATCGACAGCTTGTTGCTTTACAACAGACAATATTTGAAAAATGTGCTTCATTAAGAAGCAGAAAGTAGCAGGGAAGACATCAGACTGAAACATATTACAGCTGTTTCCAGAATTATGGATTGGAACAAAACAAAATAGTTCATGAAAGTCACTTTTAACCTAACAGCACTTTAATTAATGGAACGTAGCAGCTGTGTTACTGGGACCTGTCAGTCCCAGCGCACCACGAACCACCAGCCCTACAACTAGGGATGTTACATTCTCTTCCCTTTATTCTTGGCCTGTTTCCCGATTCAACCATTCCACCGTTAAAAGCTTATTAGGCAAGACAGCAGACTGCCTTCAAAGCAAGTCAAGAACTAGCTTTCTCATCTCAACCTCTAAATGTCATTTTTTTAAATACCCTTCCAATAATTATAAATAATTCCTCTGGAAAAACAACAGGTTTTTGACAGGAATACACAAACTGCCGAGACTGATCAGATCAATGAACCATCTAATCCAGTAACATACTTCTAGAAGTAGCCAGTACCAGATGCTTAAAGTAGCACTAACTATAAGTAGCAATTTCATTTCATGTCTATTTTTGACATTTTAAAATGTAATTTTGCTTCACAGTACAATGAAATTATCTCATTCCTTATTGCCAAGTGTTAAAGTCCTGTCCCAAAACTCCAGAGAATCATGATCAGGCTTGACTCTGAGCAAAGTCCTTTTTGAATTCCAAAAGAGGAAAAAGTGGGACTCGGAACTGGGCCCTCCTGCAATGTATTTCAGTTGAAGTTCTCACTAGTCTTTGTTTCAGACAACATTGCAAAACACTGTGCAGTAGGAAGCTGACACAGATGTTCTCAAAAAGTGCACTTCTTCCCATCAGTTGATCAACTCATTCCCTGAATAACAAGGTTTATCTACCTCCTAGGTAGGAAGAAAAGAGAGTTCTTCCTACTTAGAAATGATGCAACTCTCTAGGCATTCTTATTATGCAACATAAATGCACCATTTCTAGACTCCCCAAAAGTTTGGCCATAGTGATCATCTGCAGCTGTTGATCTCCCAGTCTTGCTGTGTACTGTAGGATAAAGGATATCCAGTCATTTTTGTATTTGTACTCTGGAGCACAGAGCAGCGAGTCACAGAGGGACGGAGAGTCTCCTGAGACACCCATACTGGGCCAACAGAGAGGAGATGGGGAGCTCAAAAGCTACCCAACCTAACCATGAGGGGGGAAAAAACACAAGTGGATGCAGACAGAAAATAAAGAGGAACATGTGAGGAAATTAGGAGAGAATACTGTTCATAGTAATAGAATCCATGATTTTCCATCATTCCTCATTTCTCTCTAGGCACTTTATTTAAGAATCTTCACACGTTTGGAGGGCAACTTTACAGATATTTATAGAGAACTCTGTCAATGCTGCAGCACTGGTGAAAATCTTTACAAACAAAATTCATTTGAAAATACTTAAAGGGTGAAGACAGAAGATATCACCACTGCTTTACCAGAGAATAGCAGTCAGCATTATGCTAGCACAAGAAAAATTATGCATACAGACAGAAAATCTTAGGGGACCTTGAAACCAAAACAGCTGGGCATTTGATGTGCCTGAGAATGGGAACCAATAGAAAGATTCAAAGGGGGTGGAAGGTTCAAAGGCTTAATCCCAGCTGCAACTTTCTGAACCACTATGAACAAGGCAAGACCACACTTGTGAATGCCAGACAGGGCATTAAGACACAAAATGATGAAAACCTGTAGGAAAAAAAAACTGTTCTGGGAGTTCTTGCATGGGAACAGA